AAAAAATAATGCCGGACTTGAAAAGATGTAAAAGGACTGGTATCGGTAAAAAACTGTATATTTGTCCGATATGCAACAAAAACTTTTACTTATTTAAACAATCTTAAAGTTCACAATAGGATTCATACCGGTGAAAAGTCACACTCCTGTCGGATATTTATTACAAAAATTTCACTCAATCATAGAGTTTGAAAACAGATTCATAACGGTGAAAAGCAACACAATTGTTCAATTTGTGGAAGAAGTTTCCTTCGATTGCCGGATTTGGATACACATGTAAGGATTCATACCGGTGAAAAGCCGTACAGTTGTAAGGAATGCGGAAGAAATTTCTCTGATTCATCGGCTTTAAATAATCATTATAAGATTCATACCGTTAAGAGGCCATACAATTGTTCGGTTTTATATTATGTATGTATCGAAATTTTTGATTTAGCATTATATATGTATCGAAATTTTTGATTTAACGAGTTGCACTGAAGGCAGTATCGGGCGGGTTTTGGTTGAGGTGGTGCACTTGTCAAAATGCAACGCAAGTGTGCTAAGGCTAATTGAGGGGGGAAATCTCTCGTAAAGTAAAAGGGCAAAAGCTCCTATGTGGTTCATTTTTGAACTGATTTTTTAATTTCTTTGAAATTAAAAATTCGTTTTGAAAATAACATTATGTTTAAGAGTTAGCGATGACATCAAACAAATTCAAGTAATAAAAAATTTGTATAATTTTCTCTGTTTTCATTAACTCCTGCAACATTTGAATATATTTGTATTTTAACCATTTTATAAGGTTCAATTCGTTTTTTAAATTAAATATAATTCAAACAAAATTTCGGAATTTTTTTCTGATTGTTTAACAAAATTATCTTTCGGAACAGAAACAATTTATAACGATGTTTGGAAAAAAGTGACAGACGACGATGCAAAGTTTGCATAAGTGGAAATTTTTGCATGAAATAAATAAGCCTTCACTGCAATTCGATTGCTCTTACCCAAAGCTCTCCCTTACAAGAAACCCATAAAGGTGTAACAAATTCCATTGTTTTACAAAAATAAAATATGAAAATGTAATAAACATACTAAAAATATGAAACACTGAAGACTGGATTAAATGATTGGACCTAAAATATCATAAAATCTGTTTATCAGATATTAAAAAGTAATTTGATGTGAGCAATTATTTCCAATGAATGGATGCTCACAAATGAATCATTTCTATTAATCAAATCATCTATATTGAAAAAATTCAAATAGAATGAAATTGAGGTTTATCATAATAAATCAATTATAATAAATAAATGACTGCTATAATTTTCCAGAACAATATCTGTCTCTAATTGGCATATAATTTCATAGGTTTCGATTTTTGTAGGCAAAACGTTTTTTAAGATGTTTTATCCATCAAGAAGAAAAACGAAAAAAGGACAAAATAAAATCCGCATAATAACCTTATTAATATAAAATTCGAACAAACAACCGAATTAATTCAGATAGGAAAGAAGCACAGAATAACGGCAATTATAAATAATATGAAGCATTCTTTAATAAAGCAAAATGAATGATGAATGTTCAAATTCTTACGTGCTTTAAATATAGATCAAAAACAGTTAACTTATAAAAATTCATGTTTCTCATAATGTCTAACCTTACCTTCGAAAAATGACAGTTTAAGAATAAAAACCTAAGAAATAAAAAGCAATGAAATTACGATTATCAAAAATTGAAGTTTGCGCACACAAGAAGCATGTACAAGGCCTATATGATATTTCATTCCAAACAAACCATCTACAACATTACTAAAAAGAATGAGGTACTTTTAACATCTTTTTTAAATATTCTGCCAAGCCTGAAATACGTAGAATTTGACCTGATTAACGAAAAGTGGTTTAAAGTATCTTCATACACATCTGAAAGAAATAAACATTAGATGGGAGCATTTTATTGGATTGAAATCAAATAGGAAGGATTTCTGAAAAAAAAAATCTGGAGGAGGAAGAGAGAGAGAACGATTCTTTCAAGCATTTACATACCGGAATAATCAATAATAGCAAGAAATAATAAGCTCACCTCGGAGAATTTCGTTCCCAGAACAATACAACAATATAAATATATATATATAAACAACAATCAATCAATAAATAATATAGACCATTTGATGAGATCCATCGATAACATAATTGATTTAATATTTAAATTTAAATTGATTTCAAAAAGTTAATGACCAAGAACAATTAGAAATAATGATAATAATGCAACGATGAATCAGCATCAAAAAAGGCCTTTTTTGGGATTCTAGAACATCTTTACTTTTGGCTTGCTCATTCTTGAAATCACATTATTTGGAAAAAACATTATCAGAGTATCAATTATTAAAAGATTTCACAAACCCGAAAATATTGCAAGTACAGTATTTGTGCAGTACAATTGGATATATTTACATATCGGAGATATACAACCGCATGTGATGAAAATCGACAATGTACCAGTGGGATATCACCAATTTAGCAATTTTTCATTTTCATGTTGTAACAGTTGCGCATTAATTGAAATAAATCAAGACTGATTATTTAAGCGATCTGAATTATTCATATAACAGATTCCAATACATTCCGCTTAACTCATTCGCTTTTCTCCTTCTTCAACTTTCACCTTCCTTTCAGCAAGTGAGGCTGATCAATAAGTTGGACAAAAAGAAAAAATGAATAAAAATAAGAAATAAATAGAAAAAACAAAGTACATCCAATATACATTAAAACATTAAACACAAGCAATCCAGAAAAATAATCAAAATAATTTTCTTATTCAAAAAACCATAAATTAACAAAAAAGAAATTTATCGAAAAATTTATCAAAAGTTGAAAAAAAAAGCTGACGGCAAAAAAGGAATTAAAAAAGGGAAAATGGAGAAAGAGTGGACGAATGCGAGATCACAGATTAATGGTGAAAATATAAACTACCAAAACGAATGATACATAGAAAACGCATTGTGCGGATAAATTTCACCTATAATTCTAAAATCTTCAACTGAATAAAAAAATATTCAAATAATAAATAACATTTTCTTTCAAGTAACTTTAAAAAAATAGTATTCATTATTTCACTATTTTTGATCAAAACTGTTTTTATTCGCAATTTTACAGCAAAACTAAGCAATTACGATGGCACTAATTTTTTTTGAAAACAGAGTTTAAAAAATTATAAAAGGAAGAGCAAAGTAGCACGCAACCAGCCAAAGAAAAAACAGCACTTCAAATTTATACAATATGAGCACTTGCAGACCGAGCATGACTATTTGGAACCAGCCGCGGTGCACCAATTGTACCACTATTATCGCTTCGTGGCGCCGATATCAGTAGCATTGTACTGCACTGAATGGAAAAAAACTTTAATTTTACTTATATTTGAAAGTTTTGCAATTTGAAAAAATTAACTGAAATTTGAAAATTCTGAAAATCAACTGAAAATGAAAACTTGAAAGAAATTATTTTCCGGCAAAGATTTAAAAAAAATTTATTGAAAAACTAGCAAAATTTTGGTGAAGTTAAAAGTATTATAAGAAATTTAAATATTACTAATTTGCTATAAAAAGTGTACATTTTCAGATGCAAGAGTAGCGGTATTGCTGTCATCAGAACAGTTGCGTCGATGTGATTGCGATTCTTGCACTGTTCGTCGTATCTGTAGATGTAACGGCGGCGGAGGAGATAAACGATAGCTTCCATCCAACGACTCAATCTGGAAATGAATAGAAATTTCAAAAAAGCATTGTTGTTCTTCCGTTGTTTCCTCAATTAATTTTATACTATATTCTTACAACAATAATGTTTGGAAGCTGAATTGGATTATAAATATTATAACTAAATTAGTGGAACACCATCTATAACAACTAACCTCACATGGTGGTCCAATAAGTGATAGTAAAACTGGCAGCAGAGCAAGACCATTGATAATACCAATAAAAATCAATGCTGACATTACTACGAAAAAATATTTTACAACAAATTCAAATTCCGAAAAAGCAAGCATAATAATCCCAAGTAGTGTCGAAAAAGCACCATGAATAACAGGAACAAAAACACGATCAATGCACTTTGCCATTCGATCATTTCGGCTACCAAGCGATGTTAAAAACGCTAGCACAACATGTGCTGTGAATTCTACTCCTGTAAAAATATACCATTAAATTTCATTTCAATTAAATTAAAACTGAAGTAAATAGTTTAGTTGATTTCCGTGATTATATGATTGCGTAATCATTTTATGCAGCAAAATTTCCTTTTTCTAATGCAATTATATACCACATACTACTGCATACAGCTTTTATGGAAAAATCACGGCAAAATTCGCTTAATCTATCAATTTATAGTTGCTGATGAAAAGCCTACCTTTGCTGAAATTAACTTTAATCAAAACAATTAAGCAAAACGCTTGCTAATCACGAAATCTGAGCAGAAAAGCTCGAAGAATATAAATGTCTGCACCTTTCATACAACATTCTAAAAACTAAAGCTCGTTCGTACCAGCAGCCTAATCAGAGAGATAAAAATATAATTGAATGGCTGCTCATCACGCCGAAACTTCACTTTACAATCGCTATGGAACTTGTATGTTAGTCAGATTATAAAAATAAAATGTCATCAATCTAGTTAATTTGTTTTTGAAATAAATTTAATCATTCTGAGTTGAATTTCGATCCCACACTATTACCAAATCAAAATATGAAAATTACAGAAACTTACCAATACCGACGGCAGTGATAACTGTTACAGCTGAGATAGGATTCAATTTGATACCAGCCAAACCAAGGAAACCGGTTAGCTCAATAGTCATTAACAGTAAAACTATCAAAATAATACCTGAAATATCATTCCTATTGCATATATGAAAATCAGTAATGACATCAACAACAAAAGCTTTTCTCCAGTTTCTTTTTCCATTCTTAGAAAAATTTGTAACGAAATTTACCAGCAGCCCACGGATTACATAAAATAATAGAGATCACACAAAATACAGCAAATGCTATCACACAAATAGCTTGGAAAAGATTGGTGCTCAAATGTAAATATTGCTCCCAGAATGTAAATACAACGCCGGCTGGGAAATTTGGCAGACCATCAGCATTGAATTTATCACAAACAGCACGAATCTCCTGAAAAAAAACCTTCTTTTGGTTTAATATAATTAACTCATAATTTACCAATATCAATTTTTATCAAAGCAAAATATCCGAAAATTTTCTAAGTAATCCAAATGTTATGAAAAATATGTTTCATGCAAGCTTTCGATTGAGAATTAAAGGAAATAAAATAAAACATGAATACATAAAGAAGCCCTAAAAATTGGAAAGACAACAAAAGTGACTAACCTTAATCATTTCGATGATAACCGATGTACTGGATAGATTTGTAAGATAAAAGGGTATTTGGCTATATTCGAATGGACCTGCTGGTGGTACCAAACGAGCTGTTTTATTTTCGATCGCCCACTCCGGTGGTGAAGGAATAAACGAAGCTAATGAAACGTGATACATCATTTTATCAGAATTATACCACGCTGTTAAATAGTTGTAAAAACTTTCCATATTAATCGTTCCACTTTCATCTATAAAACGTACCTTTCCGATCTGCAAATACAAAACAGTGAGCTGCTTTGGAAATATTGCAAAATTCTCTCATTAATCTGTCCATGTTTTAGCTTCTTAAAAATGCCTCCTACAGTTTGAACAGTAGATACCTTTAATGGCATGAATGGTAAGCTTCTCTTAAAAAGTAGCGGTTTACTCGCATCAAGCTTGTAAATAATTAGAAAAGGCACTTACACGACCAGTACAGTTGTATGTATATCCGTAGCTACATGCCAATCGATAAGCAATATTGACATCAGTTGGTAATTTTTCGGTTTTTCCCATAAAATCAGTTTCCTCACCCACAACTGCACCCGTTGACAAATCAATCTTTAATGATATATTTTCAATCATTTATTTGCGTGAAAAATTAATAATTTCAACACATATACACAGCAATAAATAATTTTAAAAACGGCAATTCAAAACTGAAAAATTTTCGGCCAAAATTCAATATCTCAAAAATTTACCAAACCATCAGCTATTGCTTGGTCCAGCTTCTGCTGCAAATTTCTCAGCCATATCCTTAACAATGATAACCAATATTTCTCGCTTGGTTCTTTTTCATTGTTTTTCACGACAAAAGGAGAACTGCCTCAAATCAGTGAGTGTTAAATTAGAAAAAAAGTATGCAGATTACCTATAAAGAATAAAAATAAAGCAGTATTTTATAATGTCCAGTTATGCTGCTATTCAAAACGTTGATGACAATGAGAAGGAAGAAAAATATTCAATCCATATGTATTAAAAAAATATTTAACCCGTAGCGAATATGGATGAAAGTTGCAGTGAAGTAAACATGCTGTAGTAATTTCTGAATATCTAGTAATTTATCTGGAAGCTTCAATATATTCAGCTCTTTTAGTGGATACAGAAAAGTTTAGCTGACATAATTAATGCAATTTTCAGATCATATAAAGCAAAGAATTACCAATACTCGAACGATAATTATCAATTTTGTGCTGATTTTTTGCATAGTCAATGCCTGATCCACGTAATACGGCAAACATCGGATAAAAGCTAAAGTACCGGTCTCGAGCTTTCAGGAAAGCAGCCGGTGCTGTTTGATCGGGTAATACATCACTCATTTCAAGGCCGAATGTAGTGTTGCGTAACCCAAATAATCCAGCAAGTAACAAGCATAAGCAAATCAAGATGACAAATATCTGAAATAATAAAACCATTGAAAAATGTACAGAAATACGAACTTCAAAACTTCCAACAACTTATATAAGTTATTAACTGTGCTTTTGACTTCACTTTTGACTGCATTAAAGCAATTTCATATCTTCATACTACCAAAATTTATGTTCTTTCACTTTGCAAAAATTAAAATAGAATGTGCACAGAATAAAGAATATTTTCCAAAATTACAATTTAATCCAGAAAATACTCTCAAAAAGTACTTTAACCATTGTCTTCTTTAAGAATGGTATATAGTAATGGCGTAGGAAAGCATGAAGTGTCCAAGGCTTTACAATATCGTCCTCCATGTCATCACCGCGATCGTTAGGCGAATAAAGATTATGATATGAAGGAACTGTCCCACCAACTGTCAATTTTTCCTGTAATTTTGTACAGATGAAATGAATTAAATAATCTAAGAAACTAAATATCTTGAGCTGTGCTATATCAATAAATATGAAGTAATCTGTTAATATAACAAATATTTTTCTATTTTTTCTCTCCTTTAACTCCTTAAACAATCAAGAACGAAGTTTACCAGAATGCTTGGATAATTCACTTAATTATATTAAAACACACTTTCTTGTTCGGGAAACTGATTTATCTGTTATTCGTTACTTAAACACTTATTAACTAAAAATTTTTGCAATATAATTTAGACTTTTCAAATATCTGGAAATACTAATACTGACCTGAATATGTGGTTTGACACTGATGTCGACCATATAACTGCTTTCTCTGGCAAATGAATTCTTCGTCACTGAGCAGCAGCAAACGTCCCGACGATAATTTTTGCGACGACATAAATCGATTGATATAATTGCTGGGAAAATCGTAAGCACAGCAATAAGATTAAATGTCAAAAGAATTGAAGACTGAAATGAATTTAAAATTGAAAGCGAAACTTGAAGAACTATATATGGAAAACATTCTTCTCCCAAAAAAAGATGTATAAATAAAAAACTTTTTTCCTTCCACTGGAATGATCGGTTTTACTTATTTTCGATGTTTTCTCATCAAATCTCATCTGATTCAAATTTTAAGAATTAGCTTTATTTTAAGAATGCTTTCTATGTCGAATTAAACTTAATAAATTATAAAAATTCTAACCTGCGCACAAAATGCACGTAATGCAGGAATTGGTAACAATGTTCCGGTAAGAAACGAAAGAATATTATTGATGGATGTCATCATAACACTCATACCAGTTTCTTTCATTAACATACCAACTTCATCTTTCTTCACATTTTCCATTACACTGTGATAATTATGCAGTAACAGAAAGATATTATCCACTCCAATACCAAGTGTTAGAAATGGAACTATCTGAAAGTAATTCATCAATATTTAATTCAATATTTACGGTAAACGCGAGATTTACTGAATAAAATCATTAGTAAAGCTATCAGTGGGAAATCCTAGCAATAATATTTCAACACAATCGGTAAAAATTTTCAGTCAATATGATACTCATAAATTATGCTGAAATTATAATAGATAAACTGAAATTCTAGTAGAAAATTTTGAATATTTAAAAGAAATGTGTACATCAATTAAATTCGTCTCAAACGCAACTAACAACAAAAACTCATTCTATATAAGCAAAAATTTCATAATTTATTGCTACTGTTAAAAGTGTAGATTTATAATTTTAAAACTAGACCGAAAAAAATCTAACCTGAGTAGTAGCAGCATTGAATTCGATACCCAACCATGTGGCCAGGCCCAAACCAGCAATTGATGCAAAAGTAATTGCTAAGACACCAGCAAAAGCAAGACCAATGCATGAATCAACAGCTAACATGCATCCATGACATTTCATTTGAGCTTGCAATGCATAGACCAACATCAGAAAGTATCTAAAATAACTAATTAATCGACCGGAATATCACCTCCTAGCTTATTTTCCTTAAATTCTATCACACAACTATCAAAATCCTAAACCAATAAACTGGCTTATTGGAAGAGCTTGATAGTTGGCTTTGGAGTGGAATTTTCTTTCCTGAAATGGTATCGACTGATTTCAAATAGTTCTAGTTTTTTCAGAAGTTTACAATTGCTGTGTTATATTTATATTCAGTAATTTTTGAAAATTCTTGGCGTGATTGAGAAGTTATTTCCAAATTTAGTAATTCCTAAAAATCATTTCATTGAGAAATTCCTACCTCACTCTCATTTACTGATTACATGAAATGATTCCTCCCTCATATATGGCTCTGATATTGATTTCTACACGTATAAGAAATCATTCTTTTTCCTTCAGATAATTTCATTAAGAAAAATTTACCCAATAAAAATGATGCTGTAATTGAATTGGCAAAATTGTTCTAACATATCGGCCACCGATGTTGATGCTAATGGATGTATGCGACGGTGAGCAACCTTCGAATCACTTTTTTGATCAACAATGAAGTTCAGTTGATGATTGTATAAATTCTTTGTAAAGTTGCGTTGCCACGTTCTAACCACATTTTCTGCCATAGCTACATTCCATTGCATTAGGTTTAAATTTGGTTTTGAATGAATTTTATCACCATCCTGTGAAACGAAATGATGGGATAAGTATGCTTGGAAAAATGATAACATCGTCTATCAATATTATTATAAATTCATCTATATGATGATTTTCTTTTTTACAGATTTAAAAAATTAATCATGATTACCTACTAAAAGTAGTACAACGATGTCTAAATATGAGAGCTTTCGCTAAATTCGTTGTAGTTTTCAACATTAGCAACTCTGATTTTTCACCTTAAAACGATTATATATGTCGGTGGGCGAAGCAACCAAAAATACACTTTGCAAAGCTTCCGCACTTTCAATCGTACCATTTTTTATCTGTACGCCACCAATAATCAGATCTTGTGGCCATAACATAACATCTTTCGCAAAACTACGACAACCACCAGTCATTACTTCACCATAATTAGGAAGTACAGGCATTTCGTGCTGAAAAATACGCTGCTATGAATTACAATGAAAAGCTGTATGTTCATTAGAATTACCAGAGAAATCAATACTATTCACATATGGACAGTTATAGAGCGTAATACTGGACACGGTGAATAAAAGTTTGTTCAGAAAGATTACTGGAATCAGATATCAAACCAACCCTTTCTTACCCTATCAACAAAAGCTATCCATGAAAAAAATTCTCACAAAAAAAAAGAAAAAATGTATTATAAAATTTTTTAAACAAAATGAAGCCATACCAATTTAAGAAACTCATGCCACTTATTCGTATTATTTCGAAGCCATTCCGAGAAAGGTCGTGCATATTTCGCGCAAAATTCAGCTGAAATTTTGACTTGATTTTTCCTGAGTATTAAAAAATAAAAGTTGTGACACAGTTTCATCATGCTTGAACCGATCCATGCTCAGATATCGATGAATCGAAGACAGAAAACAAAGATTAAATGAATTCAAGAAAAGGAAATAAAAACTCTTATAGTTGTCATGCATATTCTAATCACTACAAAAACGAATTTTCAATGGATAAGCTGGCACAAGTTGCAAAACTTCACAACAACATGTGAATTAGGTATTGCATAGAAGAGCAAAAGGAAACGGTCCTCATTTAGAATCATTCGAAAAAAAAATAGAAAAAAAGAGAAACGGAGCAACAAAGAATATGGCAAGGTCTGGGAGCAAAAACTATAGAAAGAACAAATCTATATAGAATGACTAGGAAGTGTAGAGTCAAAAGATAACATCATTATTTAATTAGAAATCGAAATAATTTCAGTGAATTTAAATATTTGAATTGAACTTAGAATACAAACTCAAAAAAAACGAACACTAATTATTACTTTTGTGACAACAACAACGGCATATCGAGTGGAAGCCATAAAAAAGCAAAGCGTAAAATTTAAATTCCTTATAAAAATAACGCAAAAAAGAGGAATGACGGATAGCATGCCAATCAACTAAAGACCAAAGAGATACATATACCTCATTTCCTATTACAACTTATGCAACCTAGTCTCCTCACCATTTAAATTAAATTCTTTATCTTCATCATCGTCATACAGGAAATCAGTGTCATCCTCATGAACGACTGAACCTGAAGTTTGACTGACTTTTCCTCATGATAACTTTGCTTCATTATTTAGTTTTTGTTTGGATTTAATTGACCAATGTCACTGACAATCCGAAAAAAGTTCCACTTCTGGAAACTCTTAGACGCATCGAGAATTAAAGAATTATTTGATTTGAAGAGTATCCACTTTCAGTTGAAGGAAAAATTCGATATCGCTACTGATTACAGTCAAACATCTGCACATTGCTTAAAGTCATTTCATCAATCCAGTCTGATTCGTAATTGATGTTGAAAATTAGCTTATCAGAAAATAAAGAAAAGGCTTTCCCTTATTTGCCTATAAAAGTTCATGTAGTATTTCATTTACCTCCTCTTACATATCAAAATCTGTAGAATTTATATTTCTGAAGGAAAGTTGCCAGCCATGCTTATCGAGAAAAAACATTTTTTGAAATGATCTATATCAATTCAAACGTCCTGGAATTTAAATACCACGGAATTGTAATACATTTTGGAAAGTCATGGAATAAGCCCTATTTTCAATTATAGTAAAATTATCAACCTCTATCGTTTGTGCTCCTTGAAGACAGAATTTTTGGATTTGGTGTTGTTTCTGCTGACCGATCTAATGATGCAACAGATGTTGTTTCCAATAAAACTTTAGAAGTTCCAACTTGTACGTTGTCTATGCTATTTTGGATAAGCTTCGAATTAAAATCTAAAGATGAAACTATCAAAGTTTCATTTGCTTCGATAGTGTCATCCTTGCTAAAGGAAAGTTCAGATCGATTCGCATCATTCGACATCCCACCTACACTCAAATAGTTATCAGTTGATTTTCTCAAGCCTCTCTTTCGTCCTGAAAATTGGTTTCATTATGTTGTGATATTTTTTATAAAGATTTCATTCGATATTTAAATTTATTAAAATCTTATTTTTCAATAATGTTAAAATAATGTAAATTTGAAATGACTTTTTGCTCAATCTAAAGTTGCTAAAAGAAACCAAATTGTATTTCGGATCTCTTCGGCAATCACCATAAAAATGATTCAAGAATTTCTGTCGTCTATTCCTTTCAGCGATACTTTACTATATGAACAAACTTTTGCCGAGGAAACCGAACAAACTGTATTCGTCTTCTAGGTTCCTCTTTCTTTCTTCGCGGTGAAGATATTCAGGATCAACTGGTACTTCAAAAGCTTGTTTCTTTGCATATTCCAAAAATTTAGGGATCAAGTCACAAAAAGCAAAGTGGTTTGGTGATCCAGTTGGACATTCCGGATTCAATGGATCTATGCACCATCGATCAAGATAACCCTTGCCGATATTAGCCTGAAATTAGAAATAATAACCCAACTTATTTAGTTATTAACTTCAATCGATTTTTTAGTAAGCTTTGTACCAATCACAAAAAGTTGATTCAAATTACAAAACTGAGAATTTTCTACTTCTTCAACATGCGACAGTGAAGAGAAGTGCAAAATGGTTCTTGACCCTCGAATTATATCATCCTGCATCTGCATATAATTTAGCAAAGCAAATGGCTTACTCGATGAAAAAAACTGTTAAAATTATCTAAGTCCAAAACTTCGGATAATTCATCTAGGAGTGCTTGTGGATCAATGTTCGACCATGATAAAGTGTCTGTGTTTGATAACGATGTCAGAAATTCTTTTCCATATCCAAGTGAACTGAAAAACCCTATTAAGTGACTGAAGCAGTAGGTTCACAACCGACAAAATAACTTTCGTACTTGCAATTTTTTTTTTACATTCTAACTAAATTAAAACAATTAAATTTAAATAAAATTGAATCGAAAATTATCCATTTACTTACTCCATACTCATCATTTTTTACCTGCTTTCAATACTGGGATGTGGTCCAATCACTTTTGATCCCTCCCAAAAGCAATCAATCGGTGTAATCCAAATGCACGGTATTATTTTATCAATAAGTGGTAAAAACTGAGCAGCAAATGAGTTTCCAATTTTCGGTGACGGCGGTTTGAAGCACAAATCAGCAAGAGTCCAATTCCTAGAACAGAATCATTTTTAAAATACTATAAACAATCTCAAAACAAATACAAGTCAAATTTATTCAAAAAAATACAGCTTTGAAGAGATAATCCTCGTTTCATATTTTAACACGCCATAGTGTACTTCCTGAATTTCAATACTCGAAATGACTGGTCATAAAAATAGAACGATGAAAAGCTACAAATATTTGTGGTTTCCGAAACAACTGAATAAATTAATATAGCAAGATAAAACAAAAGCAGGAAAACATACTCGCCAGCAACATTCACTTTATAATTTGCAACTTGTTCCAGAATTGTGACATGTTCTAATAAACCTCTTTGAGTAAGTATATTATCTCCTTCAACTATCGGAGTCTGTATCACAACCTGAAAATTATTATCTTACAATTCAGGAAACTTTTTTTGAAACAGATTCCAACCATTCGGCCTTCTTCTTCCTTTATTCTCTTTCTTCTCACTGTTTTTGATCAGTTCATTTGACTAATTAATGTCAACTCAGCAAAAAATGCTCATCAGCTTACTACTTACATACTAATCAGCAAACTAAAGTTAACAAAAAAAAAGCAAAAATTAAATTGTGAAGATAAATGCGAAATAACACCTGATAAGTACCACCAAGACCTGTTTCACCATGTGCATTATCAAAATTTAGATCGTCTATTTTCGAAAGAAAATTAAGCTCTTCTTCTAATCGGCCACCACCTGGAAGGAAAAAAGATGAATTCATCTTTTTTAAGATGAATAACTAATAACATAGACTTTCGCAAATTAAAAACATCAAGCAGTCTTCCGAGGAAGTGATGAAAATCAATAACTGATATATTAAAAATTTCCAAATGAGAAATTAATGCTTTAAAAGACCAGAAGCATTTTTTTTTCAATTATAATAATTGATAACAGTTCTATTTTTCGTGCAAGACTCTTTCTTCTAAATGCTTCACTACTTCATTATGCAAAAACTTCAATACCATTGTCTTCGAACATGATATAGTATAAGGAGAAATATGAAGTAGGGTTAGAATAAATAAAAAATAAACTATTACTAAGCAGTAATTACTATTAATAATAAATGACTGATAACTTTAAAACAAATTTCATGAATTCTGTTAATAGTTCTTTGTAGGATAATTGGTAATTCATTTAAGCGTATAATTTTCCCATTCACTTATCTCTCGATTTCAGTAATTATTATCAAATAATTTATCCATATTTAGTTCAACTTACGTGCTACCCATAACTTGACGATATCCGTTTCAATGCGAACGTATTGCAATCCATAGCAACAGAAACAGAAGAACATTACAACGGAGAATATTACGAGAAACGCGTGATGATGTACAAATGTTCCCAGGCTAAACAGTGTTTTTTGAATTAAACTTCTCGAATATAAAGCTGCACGATTGCCACGTGCTTTACCCTGAAAAATTTTATAGTTTTAGATTGAGTAATGAAATGTCAAGCAGATACGAATTTTTTTTCGCTTCTTGATCAAAAATCATTTTTGAATTTTCAAGAGTGATTTCGCAAAAAATTGCAAACACCCACAGAATAAGAAAATTATTCTAACCCGTTTAATTTGCTGCAAAGCCATATCCGCATCGTACCATGACGGTCGTTCACTGAATTCATGTTTCCATCGATCAGAAAATTCATACGAATCAGATTTGCCAACCAAAAATTGATCCATTTTCTAGAAACAAAGTAAAAGCTATTGATACAATTAGCATCGCTTAAGCAAAAAAGACAATGTTTTAACGTTATCTTTTTCTTAGCTCAACTTGTTTTTTCCATAGCCTTAATCATTGAAGTATACATTTACTTAAAGTACGCAGTTGCCACCCTCATATTAAGACGCAAAAAAGTATTTTGTGATTTAGATTGAACATGGTAATAATGTTAGTTATGTATGATTACAATTTTATAAAGAAAATAGAAATGGAATATCCACAGCTAATTACAAATCAAGTTCTATCTTAACCTGTGCACAAGATGCTATTGTCCCGACAATTGTTGGTGCCATTACATCGTCACTATCCGGTTCTTCATCTTCCTCAGGTGTGCTGTATTCTAGAAGATGCTGTGCACGTTGTGTATCGGACCCGATAACATCATGATGTTTGGTACCTGGTGGCTCTATCAGTAAAAGCATCCTATAAAAGTGTAGTTCAAAAATATTTCACTTAAATTAAAATAGCTTTTTCAAATTTTTTTCCGCACAAATAAAGAAATTCAAAAAAATAAAGATTTCGTGTGATCGGTTCTCTGAAAGCTTACGCGTAAAATAACTCGAAATTTCTTCAACTTTTTCAAACACGGGATAACTTAAACGAAAAACAACGCTTATGAAGTATTTTATATGTTTAGAACTATTCGATAAAACTAAAAAAATGAGATGCTCCAAATTATATGATGATTCAACTCGGACACGTAATCATTTATTGTAATACTTCATAGTGGAACATTTGTCGAAATTTTCGAACAAAATCTTATTTAAAAAGTTAGCTTTCTAAAGTTAAATCTTAATTTCCAAACACTTAGCATATACTTATCTTCTGAAACGATCACTTAGACTACGATGAATTTTATTCAATGGGTGGACAAAATTCTAGTATGATCGAGATCAAAATAAATTAAATTTTTTGAAAATTTGCAAATCACATCGTTAAAATTCGATAAAATTTCATCCAAATACTATAACAATAAAACTATTACATCGGAAGAAAATGAAAAGAATTGAAAAAAAAAAACATTGGTAATATTTTTTTTCAAATATATTCTTACAAAGCTTTGAAAGGGAATATTTGGTTCTTTTTAGAGATAAATTGGAAAAATCAAAAATCAGTACAAAAAATAATACACTATTTTTCAATTCTTTTCTGCAATTCTGTAATAATTTGAAAGAATTGATAAATAAATAAGTACTTAAATGCCTTCGTGGAAAATTCTTCATACCTTAAAAATGGTTAAATGACAAAAAAAAACAAACAAACAAACAAACAAATCACGTAGTGAGGCGTAAAGTGAAAAAATTGGAAAGAAGTATAAACTATAGTGAATCATGAATCATACCACAGAAAGAATAATAAACATATGGATGGTAGAATAAGTCACATGAGTCACGTAACGCTCTTGGTCCGTTAACGATGAAGGAGGAAAGGATGGAAAAAATTTGTCTCTGAAGAGAGTAAATGTTATGAGAAATCTGAACAAAACACCTCTTAATATTTCGACTCATAAAAAATCTAATAACACGTAACATACATACACGACATGCACGTAAAATATGAGGCATTTAAGATAAAACATCAACTTTTGGCTAAATTTTTTTTCAGTCCATGCTACCTTGTATGCAAATTTGTCCCATCATTCTCTTGTCCTTTGATATTTTTATCTTGCTTCCCGTTATTCTAATCAAAAATAAATCCAAAAAGAAGGTCAGCTCTTTTTTGGAATTATTTTTAAAATAATTGAGTAATTGAAAATAATTGAGCTAATTCATCATCATATGTTCATTTCAGATTTATCTATTTCCAGTATGAAATGAAAGGAAATTTCAATATGTTCATTATGAGTGCCATCCATTTATAGCCTAAAAATTAAAGTATAATTTGAAAAAAATTTAGCAAAGCAAAATGTAATATTACTAATTTCATTGATTTCTAAGAAATCTTTAAAAATTCAAATCTTGTCACAAATCAAAATAATGTGATGAATTTATTGTAATCGTCTACTTTACCATCTGTCATTTTCAAATTCAAGGACAAATAATTTCAAATTTATTAGACAGAGAAATTGTGTTAATTTTCACAATGTTCTCGGCCGTGCAAAAACAAAAAGAGTTGGAGAAGGGAAGATCCCATGGTGGTATGATAGTTTTGCAAGACATGATGAAATATTATTTATTAATTGAATTGAATTAGAAATATTATGTTAAAATGAAATGAAATTGAATTGAAATTAAAATAAGTGGAAGGGAATGGGATAACATTACATATACCATATTAATAGCTGTAAAAATAAACTTTATACAATCTCTAATTTTTCCTTTTTTTTTACGACATACATCCATTTTCACTAAACGGAATAAAAACAAATAACTTTTATCACTTATCCTCTCTCTTTCTTCATCTCTCTCTCTCTCTCTCTCTTTTTATATTTCTATGTAAATATCATTGTAAGCTAAAGAACGAACAAAAAAGCAAACTTTTATGAGTCCCATAAAGTTCAAATTATCGATATAGACGAATGAATCAGACAATGAAGAAAATAAATTACTCCTGATTAACAAAAAGAAATGATAATCTCAAATTAATGATGCAACATCGCAGGAAATATTCAAGAGATAAAATTCTAAGCAGCCCTATTCATCTTATCTTTTAATAACAAAACTTAAAACTACAAGCAGACTTGTCAGCAGATTTAATTTCTAGGACTAAAATAATAATTAACTATTAAGCAAATTCACTCTCCTAATTATTGCTCGAATAACCATCAATATTGCCGTCAACATTTCCGACAAGTTTTGCTTACTCAAACAACTAAATGTCCTCCTCTCTTTCCTCTCTTCTTTCCTTTGTCTCATCGATTTTTCTCTTTTTTTTTTTTTTTGTTTTTCCATTTTACTACTTCGTCTGCAAATATCTTCACAAAAAAAAGGAAGGAAGAGCAAAAAAAAAATTGCAATTCCCATTTTTGTTCTTCCTATTTCTTCATATAAGTAAAATATATTAAGGAATAATTCAAATTTTTACATTTTTTTGTTGCACTTTTTATTTTAAATTTGAAAATTACTGAAAATTTGAATATCATTTTAAAAAAAAGAAATTATTTAAATCAAGATAAATATGAAGAATAAAAAGGGCGAAAACATTTAAGGCGGAAAAATAAAAATTTTACGCTATGCATTAGGACAAGGTAAGATTGAGGTAGGCAAATAATTAATAGAGAATGAAAAATTGAAAAGGATAAAATTTGGGAAAATGAGTTCGATGTATCAAATGTTACTTTAGGTAACATTAATTGTGATCAAAAAGTAGCTCGTCTAACCTTCTTTACTAATCAATCCATTCTAATTGATAGATTAATTTTTTTTTTTTGCTAATTCTTTGGTTTACACGAATTATTGAAGTGAAGTTAAAAATGCAAACTGCAACAGATGCATTTTTTTTAAATTCTTTATTTAATCCATTCTTGTAATATTAATTACATGATAATCAACAAAAATGAGCAATGAATTTGAAATTTGTTAAAAATTGCTCCAAATATTTTTTTAGAATTGACAAAAAAATGGAAAATTTTCGTACAGAATTTTGCAAAATATATTTCGTTCCCGAGCATTTTCCTTTTAGCATAGAATAAAATTAAACAAAAAAAGGAATTGGTTTAATATTTCTTTTAGTTCAATCAAAAATTTTAACAAATGAAAAACGTTTTTTAAACTTCAACAAACGAGCAAATGATTAATTCTATTTTTTCACTCTTTTTTTTGTCAACTTTTGCTTTTCATTTTGTTAAATGAATCAACTGAGCCATAGAAGAGATAAGAAATTTTTAAGGCAACACTGTATTAATCATCGTATTGTTTACTTTTTGATAATTCATCATTTCTTTAAACTCTTACATACGACAATTCATTACATTTTCATTGCTGATAACATTTCTCATGTAAATTCTTAATGAATTGATAAAATATATGATATGTTAATGATTAATGAAATCATTCCGTCGCATCAAACAAAGCTAACCATTTAACTTCACAAAAAAGTTGTAATTGTAAAAAAAATAGTTAATAAAATGAACTATAAATTCTTGCAAAAACTAAAATTAGGGAAATATTACAGAATGAAGAAAATAATGAATTATCAAAAAAAAATATTATAAAATAGTAAAAGATTTTTGTAATAATAAAATTATAGAAAATGAACTTGCTAATTAATCTAATTTCATCTTTACATTCAATATAAAAGATTGAGCAAAATTCAAATATTAGAAATAACAAATTATATATGTATTTATTTACACTTAAAATCTGAAATGAATAAATAAGTAAATGAGTAGTTTCCTGTGCAAAATTATTATTTATTTGCTCATTTTCTATTTTTATCCTTTTCATTTATTCATTCTATTCCTAAAATTCCTTTTCATTTATTTCAACTAATAGTAGTAGTAGTAGTCATTAAGCGGTAATGTGTGCTGTTAGACCAAGGAAGACATCATTTTTTTTTTTAAAAAAAAAAAGACACTTTTACCAAAACTAATCAACAAACAATCGATCAGCCAGTGCTTTTCGAGTGGTTTCAGCTAAGCAAACAAAAATCGATTTTAGAAGAAATAAAATTAAGTCATATAGCAAAGTATTATAATTGTTATACCAGAAATATTTGCAAAATTTATTCCTCTCTAAAATAATTTTCATTTATTTGTGAACAAATGAAACAAAGAAAATAAAATAAGCAAATCTTTTTTTCACTCTTCTACTTTGTGTTTCTTTGGAAATATTTGAAATATCCGTTTTTTTTTGCGAGAAAATTTTGCTCATTTTTATTTCTATTGTACTTTGCAATTTCTCACATCCAAAAGGAAAAAAAAATTTTTTTCCTTTTTTCATTATCAAATGAGAGGAAGATTAAAAACATTGTAGGAGAGAAATTTGAAAGCTTTTCAAATTGACAGATGGAAGTATTTGTTTGCTCAAAATATATATAAATTTTAGTTTTAACACATTGAAGTATTTTTATACAAATAAAATAATCATAAAAAAAACTTCAACAAAAGGTTGCATTAAATGAAATAGGTTGAATGGCATTTATTATAATTGGATTTTTTTATTTGTGAAATTTATTCAAAGCCATATTTGGTTCATTGATTTTGATTATTACTACAAAACAAATGCATGAAGTTTATTCGAAAATAACAACTGGATTGACATATATTCAGGTATGGTTAGAAAAAATAAAATGAAATTATCCGAATTGTAATTTACCTTGTGTCATAACAACATCCGAAGAATAACCAAAGTAATTTATTGCAAGAGATTTTTTTACAGGTATTAAGGTAAGATGAGAAAAATAAAGTGTAAAAGTTTAAAATTGTGAAGTTTGAGTAAAATGATATTTTGATGATTGAGATACTTTGATATTATTTAATTTT